GATCTTCTACAAGGCCAACGATGCACTGATGTGCAAGGTGTTTACAATGACCTTACTAGGAGCAGCCCAAGACTGGTTCTACACTCTGCCATCCGGGTCGATCAGCAGCTTCAAAGAGTTAGCTTACGTCTTCATCGAAGAATACACTTCTTACTGGACGATCAAGAAGAACCCTGACCACATGTTCAACATGCGCAAGAAGTACGATGAATCCCTCTGAGATTACATTAAGAGGTTCAAAGCAGAAAGGGAAAACATCACTGGATGTGACGATCGAATCGCGTCATCGGCCTTCAAAAGGGGCTTGCCAATTGAATGTGAGCTGTATCGCGAGCTGACCATCTCTCCCTTCCAAACACTAGTAGAAGTCTTCGCGACAACAGAGTGCTATGCACTTTGGGATGATGACCGGACCGCCGCAAAGAAAGCTGTCAAGCAAGCCGATCAACTGGTTAAGCAGGCAAGCCAAATAAACGGCATGAGAAAAGACAAGGGTGGAGGCAAACGTGGATTACAGCTTGAGGGAGGTGCTCCAATAGCTGAGAGCTACACCAGGTTCACTATCCCGATACAGCAGATCCTAGCTCAATTAAAGAACATGCCTTGGTTGAAGATATCATCGCATTTGAAGGGAAACCCAGCCAAGAAGGATACCAGTAGATACTGCGAATTCTATGAAGGGCACGATCATTACACAAATGACTACTTCGCCTGGAAAAAGTACCTTGAAGAACTGGTCGGAGACGGCCATTGTAAGGAATTCATCGCAAGAGGGGCTATCCATCAAATCAAAGATCGCGATGCAGCTACCAACGAACCTCCACGAAAAAAGTCATATGGATCAGCACAATCCTAGCCGACTCTAAGAGCCCGAGCTGACCATCGAGGAACAGAAGAGAAAGATCATGCAAGCGACAAGAGCAAGTCTCCCAAGCCGTCACCAGCTACCCAGTCATAGAAGACAATCCTAGCATCATCTTTTAAGGGAAGGAAGTTCTAAGACAGTGGAATGCCCATCACCTCTGAAGGTACTATCCACGAAGCTCTTCGCCTACCAGCTTAGCTCCAAGTAGGCGGCCAAGCCTTCCGCACCTCTGTTGAAGATAAGTTACTTTTGATGTTACCCCCATCTCTTTAATTCAATAAAGCAATGTAGTCACACAGACATCAATATAAGTTCAAGCTTTTCTTTCCAATGGGGTGTTCACAAATGCAACTGACATGTCTCCGGAAGTAGGTCAAATGGGCCACACTCATCGACACATCTCCGGACGTAGGCCAAACTGGTCACCCTCATCGACACGTCTCCGGACGTAGGCCAAACTGGTCACCCTCATCGACACGTCTCCGGACGTAGGCCAAACTGGTCACTCTCATTGACACTTATCCGGACGTAGGCCAAACGAGCCACCCTCATCGACACATCTCCGGACGTAGGCCAAATGGGTCATCCTCATCGACACGTCTCCAGACGTAGGCCAAACGGGCCACTCTCATTGACACGTCTCCTGACGTAGACCAAATGGGCCACACTCATCGACACCTCTTCGGACGTAGGCCAAACGGGCCACTCTCATCGACATGTCTCCGACGTAGGCCAAACTTGCCATTCTCATCGACACTTCCAATGGGGTGTTCACAAATGCAATCGACACGTCTCCGGACGTAGGCCAAACGAGCCACACTCTTCGACACGTCTCCGGACGTAGGCCAAACGGGCCACCCTTATCGACACGTCTCCGGACGTAGGCCAAACGGGCCACCCTTATCGACACGTCTCCGAACGTAGGCCAAACGGGCCACACTCATTGACACGTCTCAAGACGTAGGCCAAACAGGCCAATCTCATCGACACGTCTCTGGACATAGGCCAAACGGGCTACACTCATCGACACGTCTCTAGATGTAGGCCAAACGGGCTACTCTCATCGACACGTCTTTGACGTAGGCTAAACAGGCCATTCTTATCGACACGTTTCTAGACGTAGGCCAAACGGGCTACACTCATCGACACGTCTTTGGACGTATGCCAAACGGGCCACTCTCATCGACACGTCTCTGAACGTAGGCCAAATAGGCCACTCTCATCGACACGTCTCCAGACTAGGTCAAACAGGCCACACTCATAACACGTCTCTAGATGTAGACCAAACGGGTCACACTCATCGACATGTTTCTGGACGTAGGTCAAACGGGCCGCTTTCATCGACATGTCTCCAAACATGGGCCAACATGCTACAACCTGAGAAAAACATTATATGAGATATGCAGAGCATAACTGGAGTCCCTTAAGAGGGACCCTGACACTTACAAATTTCCTGAGGGAGACACACAATTAAGATACTGGCTGGTTACTCAAGCAGTTCACAAGTCAATACGCAAATTGAAGTTGAAAAAATAACTGAAATTTCCAAAGCAAGCTGACCAACCGGCCAGGTTCAACAAAAAGAAGATCGTCAGATAAGACCAATTATTATACACAAGAAAGCAGACTACAAAAGCTGAAAAAGAAATAAAAGAGTCTTTACCTACTCTGAGGCGCCAACAGGAGATCACTGGCCTACAGCCTCTTCGGCGTCCGCCTGATCAGCCACATTCTCAGCAGTTCCACCTACTTGATCCGTGATGTCTGCCACTACCTCATCTGTTGCATCCTCTTCTGCTTTATCCTCTTCAGCTACCGTATTTTCGACCGCCTACTCTTTAGCTCTTCCTATGTTCACGACATTAACCTACTCACTTTGCATAGGGAGCAAGTCAGAACAGAGCATCTCAAGGTCTTCATCTCCAATGACATAGAATAGATCATTTCCATTTGTCTTCATCTCCAATGGCTTCGAACTTGGACTTTTCAGCGAACTTGTTATAGGCGCCAAATCTAGCCAGAAGCTTGTCATAACTAAAGGAGACATCAACATTCTTGCGCTCAAGATGAAAGTAAGCATCTTTTCAACTAAACAAGTCAATAGCATAAGAGGGGGCAACAGCAGACGAGTTTCGAATAGTTTCAGCAGCAAGAACTACTCATTTTTCAAGTAGATGAAATGTTGCTTCCCTTTGTTTTTTCCAAGGAAAGACTTGAGACTGTCTCAAGATCACCAGCCTGATGAATATGATCAATTAGCTTGAAGCAAACAAACGGGCTTGACAGGAGGTTCATCTTCAGCAGATCAGACACGTCTGCATCCTATGCAAGGCTGGACTTGTCCACCTTGGGGTCAGCCGCTGACATTGTAGAAGAACCCTTCACCTAGACATATGACTCTCTTGTTTTCTCAACCGCCACCATCCTTAACTCCAAAGGAGTTGACGATGCTGAATCAACTTCACGCTTAACTGCTCGTGACTCAACAACTAGATCGCTATAGTTGAGCGAATGAGCACACCTCCTAGTTCGATCTTCATCCCTTGACTAGTGCAGATGACTCGAACTTCAGAGAGGAATACCAACATCTCTTTACTTCTCGGCAAGCAGACCACTTCACGAATCAAATCACGGTCTCCAAGCTTGTCTGTAGGAGGCTCAAGTGGAACGTCCCGAACATTGTGTATACCGTCAATCTTCTTACTATCTGCACTAACAAGATGTCTAAACATTGCTGATGGTGGCGGAACAGCTCTTACTTGAGTCTTCTGAGCAGAAGGAATCCTTGGATTTTTCCTTAACGGAGTCGCATATTCGCCAGCGAAGTCGTAGCTTCATTTCTTGAAGACTTGACATATCAGCCTTTCTTTTTTAAAAGGAGTCCGGTAGAACACTCCTCCTGCCCAGACGGCAGATCATCAGAGTCTAGACCATTCTGCTTCCATCTCTCAACATACTGGGCAGGGGGCAGACCACCAACTTCCTCCCGGTACTCACTCAATATCTACCAGCAGTCACCGCTACTCCAACCGACTTCAGCCACCAGCGACGACAACCAGCCTGGTCCCACCTAGCTAGTCCTCGCCACAAAAAAGAGAAGACGAAGAAAAAATATACGTGCTTGACTTACATTGGGATGCATAACAACTCTTCTCTTCGACAAGCAGTACAAATTCTCCAAGATCTCTCTCAAGCTAGAAAGTAAAGAAGTCAAGTTTGCGATGTGAAGAAGAGTGAAGAGAAGCCCTGCATTTATACAGGTTGAGCATCCTAGGTCAAGAAAGAATCGCAAGCCCATTCCTACTGGGAACCCAACTCCAAGAACAGTCAAAAGCCGACTCCAATTGGGAGCCCAAATCCAAGAAGGAAGCCCAGTTACAGCTAGATAGCCCAACAGTTAATTCACACCTCCTCCATGCCACCACGGGCCATACAGAAGCTAAGGGGCATTTGTGAGAACCTAATTTTAAGCAAACCCTAGGTCAAATATTTCCTTCCATTTGGGGAATATTTGATTTGGGGATTATTGCCTTGATTAGGGATTTGATTTGCATTAAATCCCTAATTGATTTGAATCTCCTAAATTCAGAAAAATAATTCATTTCCCAATAAGGATTATTTTTCTCCAAACCCTAACCCTCCGAGACCACTATAAAAGGATGGCTACACACAATGGTTGAGGTACGTCTAAAATCTCTACTGAAACTCTGCAGAAAATTCCTCTCAAACCCTAGCCACCTCCTCTCTCTCTCTCTCTCTTTTACATAAGGCTCCGGCCGCCCGGTTAACATCTTAAACACATCTCTGTACCCTAGATTAGCTAGTGTTTTTCTTACAAACTCTTGAACTAATTTAGGCATCAGAGGGCCTTTGGCCAACACCCCCGGGTGTGACCCTCTTATTTGTTCTATTTTGCAGGGAGAAAGAGGCGGCAAAGAAGAGAGGGGAATTTTTCCAATCGAATATTCTCATGGGAAAATTTGCTCCCACAGTTTATATCCATGCCAAGACATTGAGCTCTAATTTCCTTATCAAGGCACTTCCCATGTGCAAAATTTTGTGGGCTAGAATTACACATGAAATTATTCCATTTCCTTTTCATCTCAATTGCTGCTCACACTGATTAAAAGATGGCTTTGGCTAAGAAGAAACTCCCCAAATGGCTGCAATATAATGCCATACAAAATACAGTCCTTTGAAACATGATAAATATACAGATGGATGGGTGAATCTAAAAATCCAAACCCTGGAATTTTTTCTTACTGTCTTAATATCTAGCCTATTCTATAAGGGCAGCACACAAAAAAAGCATAAAGTAATTTAAAAGAAGGAACTTCATGCTTTTACTGCCTCCAAGGCTGCACAGGGCTGCTTTGCCTCAGCTTCTGGACCTGCAGCTCCCCTGAAGAGCAAAACTGCAAGGTTGCCTAAGCAAAAATAGATGAAACAGCCATGACAATGTGTAACAAACGAACCGAAATCTGTTCCTACAATGCACTGCCATCCCTGTCCATATGTCTTATCAAATTCCTGCCAAAAAAAAAACAGCACACAGCAAAATCAGTAGCCAAAAAGTTAATTCATGTCACCAAAACATAGCATATTGTTCATAAGCAAGCACTTGTCAGATAAATTTTGAAGTACAAACATGCACTAGGCCGACACCTTAATTCATAATAGTCCCTAATTAATTACCTTTTTAATGAAGCAGCCTATCTCAGTGGCCTCAGTGACATCAAAGACATCAAGGGCTTTCGATGCTAAGACAAGTGCATCCTGCTGCATGGTTTGAAGCATGTCTGTCTCAACAATGACTGCCTTGCCTTCTAGCATGGCTACCAAGATGCAGAGCTAGTTTACCAAATATTTTTTCTTGATAGAAAGAGTGATGAAGAAAATTGAGCTTTTTGGACCAAGTTGTGGATAAAGAGGTGGTAGTGGTGCAGCTTATATTGAGCTTGGGAAAAAAGGGCTGGTGCTAGTGAGGCAGCCACGTATATGTGGATATTCTTTGTTTGTGGCCACCAAGTTGTGCTGTGCATTCTGCCAAATTAGTAACTAACGCTTTGATTGGTCCAAAAAAAAAAACTAACGCTTTGTGGACTTGTAGCAAATGGCTCAAGCTTACACCACCAGTATGGTAAGTGAGCAGACAAATGCACTAGAGGCGCAGGGGAGTCATGAAAAATTGCCATCAGATTCTGGTCCCGAATCGATTTTTGACTGGCTTTGTCATCGGGTTGCTGCCACGTGTCCACCTGCAATTCATGATTGCATGGATATGTTTTTGTCAAGTTCTGGAATTCTCCATTTTCCTCGGAACATATCCATCCAATCAATCATGAATTGCCATCTTTACCTTCTGAGGATAAGCAATCCAGATATTTCAAAAGAAGGTGGCCAAAATGAAGTGGTTGCAAATAGATGTTGCATTTCCATGTGGAAACTAAAATTATTCAGTATATATGCTCTCTTGGGGAATCTGGAAATGTTTGCTATATTTTTTCTGGCCAGTATAAAAAGATATGGGAAATGATTTAGAACCCAACTCTTTGTGATTTTTTTTTTTCGTCTGACTTCTCTCATAGTTAGATTACCTCCTTAATGAGATTGAAAACCATCTTTCAAGTTTTTTCTGAAGACAACTTTTGTTTTTGCCTCATTTTCATTTGGCTGGGGAAAACCCAGTTGTCTATACATCAAGACTTGTAATCACTTTCAGCATCAAGAAACTAGAATTTGCATACAATGGCACAAACATCACAAAGAGCATTGTTTAATTTGCATCTATCTTACAACATTAACAAATTTATATTTTCAGCAACCCCAAAACAAGGTCGTGTTGTGTCATCATCATGTGTATGAAAATGAGAACAGCTATTGCCATCAACAACTTTGTTCAAACTGGTGTCTTTTCCTGGCGTGCATATGAAAAGCAATTAAAATGGATGACACGAAAAAAACAAAAAAACAAAATACTAGGATAAAGAGTAGGAGGAGGATATATAAAAAGTGGTTGTGTGATGAGGGGTCCTATCTCAGGCAGCACACTGAGGCAAGGCAATTCTCATTTTGAGGTTTGCTACCCAACCTTTGTGGTTGGGGGACCTACTAACCCGAGGTTAATGGGCGTGCTTTGTGCGAGTTCACCCACCAAGGTCAAAGGTGAACATCTCACACCATACCTCACCTAAGAAAGTTCCAATCAAGCAACCAATCACTTTAATGCCCTGCTTAGTTATAAGCCCACGCTACTAGGCTCGGCAATATGGATTGTTATGTAAGTCATTATAAACCTTTGTATGCTGACATATTTTCCCGATGTGGGACTTTGGCAATTATCCATATTTTATGATATATATAAAAAGTGATTGTGTGACGAGGGGTCCTATCCCAGGCAGCACACTGAGGCAAGGCAATTCTCATTTTGAGGTTTGCTACCCAACCTTTGTGGTTGGGGGACCTACTAACCCGAGGTTAATGGGCGTGCTTTGTGCGAGTTCACCCACCAAGGTCAAAGGTGAACATCTCACACCATACCTCACCTAAGAAAGTTCCAATCAAGCAACCAATCACTTTAATGCCCTGCTTAGTTATAAGCCCACGCTATTAGGCTCGGCAATATAAAATGCTATGCAAGTCATTATAAAACTTTGTATGATGACATACTTTCCCGATGTGGGACTTTGGCAATTATCCTTATTTTATGATACCATCTCGCGCGGCTGACAACTTCCTCCAAGCAAGCAGGTACGAATGGAACCTTTCTATTTGGATTTTTTAAAATATTTTAGTAACTTTGATATTATTGAACTCACTATCTGTGATTTGGACCGTTTATGTTTAAATTCTGGGCTCTTTTGTTTAACATCGGAGGCGATTCGGTCAATCTAGTGCCTCGGATGAAACGTGCTCTACGTCGCTCACTCCATTTCGTAGAGATGTTTTCGATCATGGTGCTGGCCACTCGGTTTTGCTGGATTCGGTTATTGGTCGCGGTGATGATTTTCAACGACGGCGAGATACTTCCCTTCAATCTCGTCATCCTCATGTAAAAATGGAGTTTCCTTGCTTTGTTGATGGTGCTCCGTGGGGATGGGTTTACACAGTGGAGTGCCCCTTTGCCTATTTTGTCATTACTGATGCGAAGAAGGTAAAGATGGCTTCCCATGAAATTACAGAGTCTGTGTTATAAATTATTACGTATATGTTTGTCAAGCTGTTGTCCAAGCTTCAAATCGGACTCTGAGGCCTCAAACAAGACTGTGGCCTTGAATCTTGTATAAAAAGATGCAAACTTAAACATGTTCTTAGTACCTTGATTCTTGAAGTCCTCCCATTTTCTTTTTACTCCCAAATTGGGTATTTGAGTTCTGCAAACTGCTTTATTTTTTTATGTTTATATAGATTGAGATAGAACATAGGCACCCATTATGGCCTTGCTTTCTTCCAACATTTGTATGAAAGTCACACACCTTTTCACATACTAAACCCAATAGCTTTACCCAATGAAACTTAGATTCTAATGAAGTTATTGAAGTTCTATATAGCTGGAGAAAGAAGAGGCATGTCTGACCATGTTTTGTTTAGGCTGTAATTTTATTTTATTGGGTCTGAAAGTTTAGGCTGTAATATGTCACCAATGTTACTTGAATGTCAATGAGTGAGTGAAAATGCACATATTCGTTGAATTCTTTGGTTCTCAGTGTTGTTTTCTACCTTTTCAATGGTTTTTGTCGCAATCATGTTAGTGCTTCATATAAGTAAAGGAACTGCTGGTTTAACACCCTTTTTCGCACATAAGCAGGTTTGTAAAATTTTCCATAGCAAGTTGAGGTTTCTTTGTTTCATTTTTGGAAAACCCTTCTTTGTTTTAAAATTAAGAAAACTGACAATGCCATGGAAATCTACATGGCAGCTTGTGATTTCTGGAAGTAATTTTTCATAAATTAAGTTTTGTAAGGAAACTCAAGGATGGTTCTGTCTCCAAATTTAGATAACATCGACCCATATATCTCAATGTTTGCATCACCTTCACATTCTCAGGAATGCAATTTTCAAAATACTGAAAGGGAAAGTAAATAGGATCCATATACTTATTAATAGTATATTTATTTTGGTAATCATTGTGTAGATCTTAATGAAGATCATACCAAATTGCCTAAATTTTTTTAGAACATTTTCATTTTCTGATGATGTTTAACAAAGGGAAATATGTTAGACATTCTGTGCAACAAAAATTCTTGTAGTTGAAGATGGCTTTCACAGTCATGGTTCAACTTCAGCCAATTCTGCTGAAAATTGTAACAATTATTTTTAGTATGAAAACCATGGACAAAATTTTGATCATCTGCCACCATATAAGATTGCTGATTATAATTCCTCTCCATTGCCTCACTGGATAATTCAATGATGTGTGGTACTTACTAATCCTCTCGTTTGCTTCACTCATTTGCCTCACTAGATAATACCTTACAGGAATTCTTTTCTTGCTGGGCTTAGGTAAGCAAAAAGTGTTGCATATAGATTTGAATGATGCATTTTGTAGCTCGATTGGTTCTTTATGGTCAATTTGTTTGTTGAATATGGAATGATTGTTGAAGGGTTCTTGAAAAATGCTTTGATTGACAAGTATGGAAAGTGTGGAAGCATTGAGGAAGCCTGTGAAATATTCTCAGAGATGACTGGAAAAAATGTGTTTGCTGCTATGACAGCTGCACATGCCATGGAAGGGCAAGTCCGGAAAGCTGTTGATCTCTACTCAGAAATGGAAGCTCTAGTAATAAAGTCAGATCATGTCACTTTCGTAGCTCTTCCATCTGCTTGTAGCCATGGAGGCTTAGTCAATGAAGGGTACGCATACTTCAACAAGATGCGTAGTGTCTACAATATTGTTCCTAAGATCCAGCAAGCACTATGGCTTAGTCAATGATGCTGCTTATGCTCTTCTTTCAAATATACATGCCAAAGCTGGTATGTGGGATGATGTGAACTGGGCAAGAAATAAGTTGCATTAACTAGGAGTGAGGAAGCAATCAGGATGTAGTCTAATAAAAAAAAAAAGGAGCTGTGCATGAATTTACAGCTTGGGATTTCTCAAACCCTCAATTTGCTGAAATTTATGCTATGTTGGATGAGATGGCAACAGGGGGAAATGGTATTGAGCCAGAGCTTGAGCACTATGGGTGTGTTGTTGATCTTCTTGGGCATGCTGGTCGAGTTGAAGTGGCATTTGCGTTTAGCACCAACTGCCGCTATATGGGGTTCAATTTTAGGGAGATGGGAGGATATAAGAATTGTAAGGGAATTGATGACAGAGAAGGCCGTGATAAAGGAGCCAGGAAGAAGTTGGATTGAGCTTGACCAAATCCTTCATACTTTCCATGCAAGTGATCGTTCTCATCCCAGAAGGGAAGAGGTGCCTGCAAAGGTGAAGAATTGTCCGTCAAATTGAAGGAAGCAGCTATGATATCCATGGGAACTGAAGCTAGCGTGTTTGATTTGGTTAACATCAAAGAAATCTGTGACCAAGTTCTCTTCCTCTCTGAGTACAGAGCTCAGTTATATGATTCTTTAAAAAACAGGATGAACACCATTGCACCAAATTTCACTGCTCTTGTTGGGGAGCTTGTTGGTGCTCACCTCATCGCCCATGGTGGTAGCTTGTTGAACCTTGCAAAGCAGCCTGGGAGCACAGTCCGATTCTTGGAGCTAAAAAGGCCATCTTCAGAGAACTAAAGACTAAGCATGCAACACCACAATATGGGCTTATCTACCATGCATCCTTGATTGGTCAAGCAGTACCAAAGCTCAAGGGTAAAATATCCCAATCATTTGCAGCAAAAACTGCATTGGCAATTCGATATGATGCTCTTGGAGATGACCAAGATAACATAACGGGACTGGAAAATCGAGCCAAGGTTGAAGCATGGTTTGCTGGATCAGGTAAAGGCAAACCAAAGATTGACATCTATGACAAGAATCGCAAGAAGGGAGCTGGAGGATTGATAACTGCAGATTCTCTTGAACAACTCAGTTTACTTCGGATTATGGTGGTGATTGTGTTTTTGTTACTGAACAAAGCCATTCTCTTTTGGGAGCAGATGGCTCATTGTTCAAGTAAAAAGGTTCTTTCTTCCCAACATGTGCAAGCTTGTGTATCCAGTAAGTTGGTATTGGTTTCCGCTAATTGGTGTTGAGAGGCCTGAGGACATGCATTATTTTAAGGGGGGTGGAATGTTAGTATCCTTCACTAGTGGGCCTATTGTTAGCAGCCCATAGACAGACACGTGTAATGTTCTCTAGGCAATACTATTGGTGAGCTCACACGGTACTTAGTTTGAGGCCCTTGGCCATTTTGGGATCTGAATGAAGAATTGTTATTTTAGTTTCCCTCTTTCCCCTTTATTTTCCTTTCTTCTCCTTGGTACCTATCAATGTGTTTATCTGTTGAGGCAGCATGTCTATTTTTTTTTGCCTTCTAATAATTTTTCCAATTGGATTTCCTGAGGCTCTGATTTAGGTTTAGTTCCAAAGGAAGTAGAGTAGAGTGTTGCAAAAGCACAAAGCAAGTATTATAGAATAGAGTAGAGTGTTGCAAAAGCACAAAGCAAGTATTATAGAATAAAGTAGAGTGTTGCAATTCCCACAAACGAAATCAAGAAGGTGTATGCTGGCAGGTCTGTTGGTGGGTTGGCTTCTGTGGACGATTTGGGTGATGGGTCAAAAAGTTGTTTGCTCTCGGAGAAGCTTTTGCACTTGCTGGAATATACAGGCAAGGATTTGAAGCTGGTGAGGATGGGGGTTCTGCTGAGAGAGATGGAGAATGAGAATTTGTTGGATTATTTGGATGTGTGTTTGGATTTTATTGATCAGAGTAGAAAGGAGGGGTCTGTTTTGGTGCATTGCTTTGTTGGTGTTTCCAGAAGGTACACATTGTTTCCTCTCAGTTTATCATTTTCAGTTTTTAGAGTAACAACAGGCCTACATTCTAAAAGCTATTCAAGTTTTCTGAATTGTCAAGTTTAAAGGGTTTACATTTGCATGTGTTTGTTGCAGTGCAGCGATCATTACAGCATATCTGATGAGAACAGAACATTTATCACAAGAAGGTGTGAACCTTTTTTCTTTTTTCCTCTTACTTCTCTCATATTAGATTACCAGGCAAACCTTAAAGCCAATTATTCAAGTCAACCATTGATGAGATTGTTACTTTTTGGTGATTGAAAACCGTCTTTCAAGTTTTTTTGAAGACAACTCTGGTGCAATTGTGTCTTGTTGTCATCATAGCTAACCACTTTGCACAAGAATGGATAGTTTGATTGATTTCAAAAATTGAGTTAGGGTTTAGCTTAGACCTCAATTATTGAATTATCCAAATTATCTGTTTTTTTTTTTGGGTTGTTGCCCATTTTCATTTGGCTGGGGAAAACCCACTTGTCTAAACATAAAGACTTGTAATCACTTTCAGCATCAAGAAACTAGAACATCAACTTAATGTGCCAATAATGTTAAGAGTAATGCTACTCTTATCACATTTGTATACCACATTTTCACATCACTTTATGTGGCAGATGAAGTGGACATCCGCATTGATTAAAAAGGTGTTAATAAATCATAAAAGAAAAGAAAATGTTAAATTAATTTTAATTGATACGGTTGTCTACCTCATTTACCACATAAGGTGATATGAGAATGTGGTATACAAATGTGGTAAGAGTAACATTCGTATGTTAATTGGTAACCCAACACAGTACAACTATAAAACTTGGGCTGGAATATGAGTTAGGCTTAGGCCAATCCAGGCCAAACAAGCTTGGCCTGAGTTTTCAAAACTAGTCTTGGACTATTTTGGGTCACAGCGGTTTGTTTGGACCTTGCTAAGCTTTATTTGGTCTAAGGCCTATCAATGGGCCAAATTATCATTTGATCCAAAATATATTTTTCTCAAGTCCAATTCCATTGATGAGGTTGCCTCTGATTGGGAAGTTTTGGGGGAGATTTGCGAACTCGCTTGTATCATCAAACCTTTAATAGCAGAAATAAAATTCGTTCAAGTAATTAGTAACGGTTAAAACTAACAAGAAATGGGGATGTAGCTCAAATGGTAGAGCGCTCGCTTTGCATGCGAGAGGTACAGGGTTCGATACCCTGCATCTCCAACTGAGTTTATCATTTTTATTTATATTTATGGAGTTGTAGATTTAGTGGGCAGTGACTCACCTAACTAGTTGGGACATATTGATCCTTTCTACTTGTAGCAGTAAGCATCTACCAATGTCCTGCTAGATATTATAGTTCATCTGTCCTCTTATCTCCAAGTATACTTACCGACTTAGTGGTCAGCATGAGAACAACATGGTTCAAATTCAGAGGCTGCTTTAGAAAACAACATATCCATGTCCGATTGATTCTGCCGTTCCAAGCCTGTATCAAATCATCAAAACACCCCAAAATTCGGTTGTGTTTTCAACTTTGCTCACCGACCAACCTGTAATTACATGGTCACAAAAACTGGTTACTTTTTCAACACCAGCTGGCCTTGATCAGATGCATCCTATACCCAAATAAAACCACACTACAGCGTATACATACGTATCTAGAAAATTTATGCTACACGAGAAAAACTTGACTATCACAAATTCATGCAATTCATTTCTCTATCTCTCTCGTCACGTGTTGTACATGTGTGCTGTTGATCTAATCTCACGCTAAAAAGACAGTTTATGGTCAAGATTCCTTGTCAAACTCCCAACTCATATGTAGTAATGTGGGCTGGTGGAACTGCTCTGTTACGGAGTTAATATGTTAAATTATTTGTTTCTCGAACCAAAATGACATTCAACCCAATCCTGACAACCAACGTGTCAACCACATACCATGTCTGAAACGCAACGTTTCCTCCCTCACCACACCATGCCACCTGTCACCGTCCTCCTCCCCCCAATCGTTAATAGAAAAATATTCTTCGCCACCTTTCCCTCTCAACCACCCACCCCTCACCCCCCAATATTACACATCTCTCCTTCCCTTTATATTTCCATATACAAAACACCTACATTTCCTCATTTTTTTTATTTTTCTCTCCCTTTTCTTCAGCTGAATTTCTATTAACATCGCCACTACCGCCACAGCCACCACTACTACCACCAATTAGGCGACGAGACACGACATATACTGATGGCACGTGGTCTCTTCGCCTGCTTTGGATCAAAAGGGGTCGAGGGTACGCCCCGCGAAAAGCACGCGGGAGCGACGGCGGACATTTCTGCCGAGGAGCAGCGGCGGAGCGGGCCAGTTCTGGTGGAGCTGTTCTCGTCGCAGGGCTGCACCACCTCGCCGGTGGCCGAGCTGCTGGTGTCGAGGCTTGGGAGGGGGGATTTTAATGAGATGGACCTGCCCCCTGTTGTGGTCCTGGCCTACCACGTGGACTACTGGGACTACATGGGCTGGAAGGACCCATTTGGATCCAGCCAGTGGACTGTACGGCAGAAGGCCTATGTGGAGGCCTTGGGTCTGGACACCATGTTCACCCCCCAGATTGTGCTTCAAGGTAGGGCCCAGTGTGTTGGCAACGATGAGAGTGCCTTGCTGTCGTCGATCAGGGATGCACCTAGATACACTGCACCGACGTTCCAGGTCTGTATTTTCTCCTCTCTCTTTTATATACATATATATATATATATAAATATTTGGGTGCCTTTTCTTTTTCTTTTGTTTTAATTATGTATATTTGCACAAGTACTTACATGATTACTTTCATAATGTGATCATACTTTTCCTTGCTTTTGTGATTGTGGTGGTGTGAAAAAAGTGATAGGCTCAATCAGATAAATATGTCTCTATCTTCATCATTATTTAATCATCTTAAACCTTTATCTTAAAATGAGCCTCATCCACTTTCTGGTACACCTAAAAGCTATGTTCACTTTTGACACTTTGAGAAATGGGGGATGTCAAGTTTCAATGTAACAACTTTAATTCAAAGCTAAACCTAGTGCCTTTTTAAATTTATAAATTTTCATGATATGAATAATCTAAACGTGTCAGATATCTGAAATGAAATGTTACGTTGTTAGACTGAGAAATTCTCGATGTCTTCTAAATAATGATGCCCAACTACACGACTAATCAACTATGATTCTTTGTAATTGGTTGTTTTGTGGATGAGCAGGCAACTTTCGAAAGGCCCTCCCCAGACTCCTTGCAAGTATCTCTCACAGGATCCTTAAGGTCAAAGGTGGATAGTTATGGTGCCAATGTGATGGTGGCGCTCTATGAAAACGGGCTGATCACAGACTGCCCCAAGGGAGAGAACCAAGGACGTGTCCTGTCCAGTGACTTTGTTGTCCGAAGACTTGAAAAGCTCTCTACTGTCAAAGACGTCAATGCCAAGAAGACCATTTCGGGGACTCTCAACTTCCCCTTGTGGGAAGGCTTCAATCCCTCCAAGTGTGGTCTGGTCCTCTTTGTTCAAAACCCCTCCCATCAAATTTTTGGTTCACAGAACTTTCAGCTGCCGGATAATTGACACGGTTATAGGGACTGAATAGCTTGTGTCTGTCGTGTTGTTGTTACTCCGGGGCTGGCCGGCCTGGCCAAGATTGCAGTAGGTTATGTACAGGATGTGTTCATAGTAGAGTACTGATTTCTTTTTCTTTCTCAGTTTGGGTTTTTCCTTTCTTGTTTCTGGGATTTGATTTTTAGAAGATGCGAGAGATTTGCATTCATATATGAACATTCTTTTTCAGATTTGGACTTTGGTTGTATGAATTGAATCACCATTTCTCGGCTTGAGAGATGAGGATGGTCAACTTGTGTGCTGTTTTCATTTGCTTTTCTCATTGATACTGAACAGAATCAAAATCAAACCAATTCAGACTGGTAGAATCCCTTCGTAATGGTTTGGTTCGAACAATCAGCGGCATATCCAGAAATTATCGAAAACAATTTAGGGTGGAGATTTTCACCAATTCAACCATACAAATGGGCAAGAAAGAAATGAACGTCAAGCTGAGAAGAGAGCCAAAATCCGGTAATTACAGGAAAATTCATGAAAGCTCTTACTATTGAAATGGTAATTTGAAGAAAGAACACTAGGGCATCTCAACATTGAAAATTTACAAGTACAACAAACACGCTCATACCAATAGAGCTTGTCACTTATTTTCATCCTAAAACAAAACTCATTATCTACAAGAGGGCAGCTCAGCGTGGATCCAGGTACCATGATCAGAACTCCACCCATCACACAAGTAATGGCATAATAACATGTTACTTTGGTTTACACCATAACATTTCTGAATGCCAGTTACTTCCTCACCTTACCCCCCTACCATTTATCCAAAGACTGATGAGCAAAAAGAAAACAAAATTACAATATGAGAAATTTCCATTAAGGCCAAAAGCACTTACAGCAAAAGCTAATAACAATTTATACTGAATCTACTGCTCCAACTTGCTGCCGAGCCAAGTATTTCTCCCTCCGCTCCTTCTGAAAAACAGAACAAACCAAAAGATTATGCACAAGAACATCACATAAGAAATTTAGTCCATTGTATGTGCATGTATGGATCAGATGTAATGTTGGCAGTATTGTTACCCATTCATCTATTACAAGGCCTTCCCCAACATCACGAGGGCCTGAGTCCACAGGAGGTTTTTTACGCACTTC